AAGTTAGAGTTCTGAGTTCAAAGTAAAAATTCTGAAATCAAAGTAAGAATTCTGAATTTAAAGTTAGAGTTCTGAGTTCAAAGTAAAAATTCTGAAATCAAAGTAAGAATTCTGAATTTAAAGTTAGAGTTCTGAGTTCAAAGTAAAAATTCTGAAATCAAAGTAAGAATTCTGAATTTAAAGTTAGAATTCTGAGTTCAAAGTAAAAATTCTGAGATCAAACTACAAATTCTGAGTTTAAAATTAGCATTCTGAATTTGAAGTTAAAAATTTTGAGTTCAAGGTTTGAATTCTGAGTTTAAAGTAAGAATTGTGATATTAAAGTGAGCTTTAAATTAGAATTATGAGTTTAAAATTAGCATTTTAAGACTAAAGTTAGCATTCTGAGATCAAAGTAAGAATTCTGAGATTAAAGTAAAAMTTCTTTAAAAGTCAGATCCTGAMKSAACAAATAAGAATTCTGACTTTTTTCTTTGAACAGGAAAAAACTTCTAGGAAAAAAGTCAGAACTCGTTTGGAAAAAAGAAGTTTTTTTCTCTATGGCCGTAATCTTCCTCCCATAGCTCACCTTCTCCAGGTCGACATCATCAGCCAGTTTCATGTTTTTGGTGTGGATCTGCAGGATCTCCAATCTTCCGGTTGAATCTGGGATTCCAATGTCAATCTCACGATCAAACCTGCCTGGAGAGGGTTGGACGTATCTGTAAACACAACTGAGTGTTTACCTCCTAACATATGTCTGTGTGCATCAGGCTGTCCTAACCGAATCGCCTGAGAGCGGGATCAATGCTGTTTGGTCGGTTTGTTGCGGCCATGACAACCACATGAGCTCTCTGCTTCAAGCCATCCATCAGGGTCAGAAGCTGTGACACAATACGCCTCTCCACTTCCCCGTGAGTCTAACCACATAGTCAAAACAGATAAAACACAGATGATTCCACAGAAAATGAAGCCCAGTTTATGTTTTGAATATATTTGTGGATTTATTAATGTTGACTTACCTTTTCTCTCTTGGGAGCAATAGCATCCAACTCATCAATGAAGATGATAGCCGGAGCATTGTTCTCTGCTTCCTCAAATGCCTTTCTTAGGTTACTTTCTGACTCTCCTGCCAGTTTGCTCATGATCTCTGGACCTGGTCACAGAACCGTGTTAAATATCTCCTCCTCTGATCCAAACATAAAAAAACTTCTGCAAACATTTCAGCTCCTTTCAATAGTAACTGTAGCGAAACAATAATAATATATTTTATTTGGAGGCACCTTTCTGACACTCAGGGACACCGAACAGGCAACAGATACACACAGAAACATCAAAATACATAAAAAACATGTAAATACTAAATTAAAAGCAGCAATAGGAGAGCAAGCAATGCTTTGCGTGGTATGACGCATCCGCCCTTCTCCAGTGGAGCGCCTGCTGTGGTTGGTTTCACCTGCCGTGAGAATGTGCGGCAGCCACGCAAAGTTTTTCAGTCGACAGTTTTTACCCACAAAGTCATGAATCTGACCTGAATCCACAGAAATATGACTTTGTTCTGTTTTCTGGATGTAAGGTGGAGTGTCTGCACTGCGAGTTCCTGCCGCGGTGTGGGACTGGGAACAGCTGACAGCTGATCCATGCGCACAACTTTACGCAGTAAATATTGCGTCTTGTGGGGCGGGGGAGTTGTTGCAACTGATCTGAATTGGTGTTGTAGTGTCCAAGAGTGGGGGCCTCCTCAGGAATGCACAGATGTGATGTCTCTTGGTTTTTCCAGCTTCAGAGCTCGGCACATATTACCATATTAGGAAGAAGGTGTACCATTACAAAACTTATGGTACATCTGTGAAGCCTATAAAGAGCCTTGTACRCCCCCACCCTTGGCCTTCGTATTTCATCTTTCTTACTTGGTGAATCATTTGGCATTGAAGGCCATAATTTGGTTTTTGGCTGTAATCTCCTGGACTGCAAAATAAAGATTCTTGCTGTTCAACCAGCCTGTTTCAGAGTTCTCTCTTCATTGAGCAACAGCAGTTCCACTTGAACCAGAAGACGTGGTTATTTTCACCTCAGTGTGCTGGGTTTTTTCTCGGTGAGAATTGGGGTGTTTCTTTCGAACGTTTTGTTCTCCTCAGCTGTGTGTGCTGCGCTCCCCGGGCCGTGCACTCTGTGTGTGGTTCCAGCTGCGTGACAACAGTATAGACACTGTGCAGTTTGCAGTGGACTGGGGGTTCTTTGATCATTTTTGGGCTGGTCTGTTTTCTTGTCTGGGGTTGGATGGTTTTCGGTCCCGGGGTTCAGTTTCGTCATCATTCGAGTTTGAACAATAAAAGTGAAAAAAAAAAAAAAAAAAAACTAAACACGCTGTTAGATTTTTTGTTTCATTTTTGTTGTTTGGACTCGAGCGATGGTGGGCCTGGGCCCCGGCCGGGACTGAGGATCATTTGGCCTCAGACAGGAGGATGGATCGGCCTGGGAATGATCGGGGAGCCTCCGGTCTACTGGACTGTGGAGTTTTGTGTTGTTGTCGCGTGGTTGGAGTCGCACGCGGAGCGCGCGCACGGCTGAGGAGAATGAGGTGTGTGAGGAAACATTTTGGTTCTCACTGAGAAAGAACTCAGCGTGTTGATTCGGAGCATCTCGGCTGTGATGATTCCTCAGCCCCACAAGATGTAGACAATAGATTTGTTGCTGCGTAAAGTTGTGCATCATTTATGGATCAATGTCAGCTGTTCTGCAGGGTGATATCACCACAAGAAGAACTTAAGACAGCGTGTTTTTTTGTTTGTTTGTTTATTTGTATCACACCGAAAAAAATACAGCCAGGTATTTTACTGTAGTTCTGAATCGAGTCACGCAGCTGATCTGAATGAGAAACTTCATGATTCTAAAATATAAATCACACCGCGGCAGAAACTCGCAGCGCTGCGACTCGTTCCTTCACTTCAACTATTTAATAAATATTTTTCTAAGTTCTACCAAAGTCATCATTTTCTCTGTGTTTACAGTCATTTATTAAAGACGTGTAAAGGTGGAAATGTCTATCAGCCTCATGCGCTGCTGCAGCACACGCGCACACACACCAACACCCACACACACCTTTGAGTGGCAAACAAATTTTTACACCCGACATTTTCTCACTCATTCATTTCCATTTAATGTATAAATTTCCTCCATCTAAAAATCATTTCTGATCCCACAGAGGACAATCTGAGCTTCAGAATCTCACGCTGGACACATTTACATGTATTTTTCATTTCCCGTCACAGATGTACCCAGAATGCATCACTTCAGTTTTCCAACAAACAGTTTTAAAATTATTTTATTGATGTACATCTTTAATGAAAAATCTACAATAAATACAAGAAAGACAAAAAAGCAGCAGCTGAACTAGCAATCTCCAACATGTTTTAAAGAAGCACTACTAAGCAATCCTCATAAATTGTTTAATTTTGACACCATTAGCAAAATGTCTGTTACAGGAAATCATATCATCAGCAATTGACAGTTGCTGAATTAAGTTGTAAAAGAGTTCATACACTGCAAGGTGGCAGCGCAGTGCGTAAAAAAAGCATGACTTATTGCCAGCAACTGGTGTCAAATTGAACTGCAGAATGAAATTAGCTTCTGCTAATTTTTCTACTGCATGTGCACTTTTGACGTTGTGAAACTAAATATGTTCATTAGCGCTTTAGAAATTGCAGAGCTAATATTTTTATCAGCGACGCCCACCACTGCTAACTGGGTTTATCTGAAAGCAGACAAACCCAAAAAGGATTCCAGACAACAAAAAACAGCTGAAAATGAAGACCCTAAACCTGTCATCATTCCGAATGTGGTGGGAGTTTCAGAGAAACTGAGACGTTTATTCTCTAAACATKACGTCCCAGTGGCTTACCCCAAAACACGTTACGACAAAGATTAGTTCACCCCAAAGATCCAGTTCACCGGCAAAAACAGAGTAATATAGTGTATGCTGTTAAGTGTCAGGAGGACTGTGATCAGTCATACATAGGGGAAACAAAACAGCCACTGTTCAAAAGAATGAGCCAGCACAGACGATCTACGTCATCAGGTSAGGACTCTGCAGTTTACACTCATCTACAGGTGAGGACTCTGCAGTTTACACTCATCTACAGGTCAGGACTCTGCAGTTTACACTCATCTACAGGTCAGGACTCTGCAGTTTACACTCATCTACAGGCCAGTAGTCACTTATTCAGGGATGAAGATGTTCTCATCCTTGCTAGAGAGGAACGTTGGTTTGAGAGAGGAGTAAAGGAAGCCATCTTTGTGAAGAAAAAACATCYACCATTAAACAGAGGTGGAGGCCTTCGTGTCCAGTTGTCCCCCTCCTACAATGCTGTTATTGCAAGTATGACTCCGCCTCCTGTGAGCAAAAGGTGTGAATCAGGGCCCCAATGATAGTCAGGTGATGGTGCACAAGATCCTTTATGAACAATAGGTGATGATCAGAGCACCAATAATCTATTGTTAGTCGATGGCCCTCTTTTGCATGTGACTAACCTGTTTTTCCAGGTGGAGGCAGTGCTTATAAGGCTGAGTTCACCTGAAACTCATCAGACTGAAGAAGTCTCTTGGAGGAGAGACGAAACATTTCACTAAAGAGGAACCCATCCAGAGGACCTACTTATTTTTAAAAAATTTTACCTGGATTACTGAGATACACAAGGACAGCTTTGAATAAAGTTGACTTTGTTCTAATGAGTAGGAATACCACTTTTTAGTTTAAGAAAGTTAGTAGAAAGTATTTAAGTTCATTTAGGCCAGTGGTGTCCAAAGTCAGTCCTCAAGAGCCAGTGCCCTGCATGTTTTAGGTGCTGCCCTGGTTCAACACAGCTGAACCTAAGCAGTGCTTAATTAGTAGGCCTCCTCACTATGCTCTGCAGAGGCCTACTAATTAGGCACTCCTTAGGTTCAGCTGCAATACACTGCATGTCAGTGTATTACACATTAGCAGTGCATGTTGTCCTATTCAAGGGGAACTGCAGCACCATCTGAACCCCTACTTTCTATGGCTTTATTAGTAACTGCTCATATTTATGTTCTAACGTGTCGGATTGGAAAACCTCCTTACCATTAATGAGGAAGAAGAAAGCCCCCGTTTCATTGGCTACAGCTCGGGCCACCAGGGTCTTCCCTGTGCCTGCAGGGCCGTAAAGCAGGATACCTCTGGGGGGCTAAGTGAGGGGAAGTGAACAACACTAAGATGCAGAACACAGAAGTACAACTAATCCGATCTGTTTTATGGCTGAAAGAGTTCACACATTTAAGAGCACAACACCTTAACTCCTATCGCCTTGAAGAGTCCTGGGTGTCTGAGAGGAAGCTCCACCATCTCTTTGATCTGTGCCAGTTGCTTTCGACAGCCTCCGATGTCATCGTAGCCAATGTCATTCAGACTCTCCTCTTCATCCTGTAACAGGAAGCAGGAAGGTTCAAGTTTTTCTAATGCATGGGTTTTCAAACTGTGGGGCGAGCCTCACATAGGGGGYGCCAAAGGTCTTGGTGGCGTGAGGTGAATCAGGAATTAGGACAATTAACACAAGGATTACGTTCATACTGCAGATCTTAGATTATGGTAGGTTATTTTGCTCATAAATATATGTATTTTGTATTGTGTATCACATTAAAATTAAAGTGTGACTTCAGTATGAATAGTTAATAGTTCAGAGGAGCCTGTTATGTGAAGAAGTGATGTCAAACACAATAAGCTTTGTCTGAGAAAGTAACCACACATGTCACATGTGATAGCTAGCTTGTGTGCTTTTGTGATTATGAAGTTCTTTTGCAATCAGAAATAATTAAATATGATCTGACCTGCTTGTTAGGTCCAGCATTTACATTTAATCTTGCCTCTTGATGGATTCAAAGGTGCAACACTTTATTTTTGGAGYGAAGCGATGAACGAGGGGTAAAATAATAATGATACCAAACATGGTTAACGTAAATAGTTTTTAAGATGAAAATATAAGAATAAGTTCAAAATTAGCCAAAATGGCCATTTAGACCCCAGATTCTAGAAAGTTAAACCTGAATATCTCTCACCTACTGCATACTACGGAATCAACTCCTTTTGCTCTCTACAGATGTAATTTAGGGCATTGATCTGTATAACTGGATTGGACATCACATGACTTATCGTGCGCCGCACAGGTGCCATTTCTATGCATCGAGTTTTGACTCAGAACATCCATGAATGGTAAAAATGAGATGCAGCAAACAGTTACGCAAGAAATATCAAAAAGGGATGCAATATTTTGCCATAAATTGTCAACAAGATCACAAGATCAAGGTTATCACATTTTACAGGTCATTCAATTATTTTTTATTAAAAACAATGGCAGAGATGCAGAAAGTAGGTCARTTACGCAGCTTGATTTTGACAACCTTATGTCAGGTAAACCCAGGAAAAGACAAATTTGCTGTTCCACTAAATTATTGTGTTTTTTATTAATATTGTTTTTATGTTAAAATAATTTGTGGATGGTCGTAAATATGATGGACAACGTTAAAATTACCTTTACTACTGGGAGGCGGGGCAAGATGGCGGAGGAGTGAGACGTGTGTCGCGTGGGCTCCCGCTCCGACTTGTTCTGTTTGTGGTTCTATACTAAATGTCCTTGCTGTTTTGAACATTTGGTCCGTCCGGACTCGACCCCTGAGTGATTCTTGCCTGGAAGAGTAGAARAATGGCGACAAACTCGAGGAAAGCCAAACATTCAAGCTCGACGGCTACCAGGCCTGACGCCGCCTCGGAGCAGACTGCAGCTAGGACTGGACATTCGGGGCCCTCCTGTCCCTCCCACAGTGAGGCGGACGCACTCTCCTTGAAGTCTGACATTCTTGCCGCTATAAAAACCGATCTCTCAGCTGTGATCAAATCTGAAATAAAAGCCGCTTTGTCTGAAGAGTTTACTCTTATTAAATGAGAGCTACAAGCGGTGAGAGCTGAAGTAGCTAATGGCACGATGCTACTGCGCGCAGATCTGGACCACGTTAAACAGAGCATTAAAGAAGTGGAGGACGGCTTGTCAAACTGGTCCGATGAGATTGTTTCTCTGCGCACCACCGTGTTGGAACTGAAAGAAGTCGATGGGCTCAAAAAGAAGTGTGACGATATGGAAGGGYGCATGAGRAGGTGCAATGTGCGGATTATTGGAGTTCCTGAGACACCAGAATCCAGCTCCACTTCACCAGTGGCTAAAATACTAGCAGAGGTCCTACAGATGGATAAAGTGCCACTGGTTGACCGAGCCCATCGCTTTCCAGGTGGGAACAGGTCAGGCGATGAGCCGCGGGTCATTGTTGCTAAGCTGCACTATTGTCAAGGATGTGTGGAAATACTGCATCGGGCTCGGAGTCGTGGTCCTCTTCGTTTTAAAGAGTCACCGATCACATCACATCTGACAACACGGCAGCTGTGGCCAGGGCTCGAGTGGCGTTTACGGAGGTGAGGAGGCTTCTTCGCAACCGACGAGATGTTTGCTACGGCCTGCATTTTCCTGCACGGCTCCACATCTCTCATGGGGAGGAAAACAAGGAGTTCCTGGATGCCAATAAAGCAATGGACTACGTTAAAAAGAGGATCATCTCGGCGACGGACAACGAGGACCGGCGTTGACCGCAGGTCCAACTCTCATCGATCCATTATGACTGTCAGGTTGTAATGARCCTTTTAACTTTATGTCCCGCGCTATATCTTGATTTAATTTTAGACWTTATTCTCAGGGACAACATTCCTCTTTTTGTTCTATGTAAGAGAGTTTCACAGGGGGTCTGTCCAGATCTTGGTTAGTGATTTATTTATCAGTGCGGCAAGGAACATAGACAGTAATAATACTTTAAAGTAAGGGAACCCCTTTCTTTATTTTTTTGGTTATTGTTATTTAGTTGTGGCAGGAGTCCAGACAGGGAGTTTAGCCCCCTAGTATAAGCACAAATGTGTGGATTTTTTGTTTGTTGGGTTCTCCGTTTTCTTTAGGAGAAAGGGGTGGGACTATACCGGATCTATTTGTTTTGAGAATATTTTTTTCAGGTTATTTTTTTGTGATGGTTTGTGGATATTGTACTGCAGTCCAGTTGACCATACATGAGCAGTTCTAATATTACCAGGTTCATCAACAGTCACCCAGTTAACTGTGCGAGTTGGAATGTGAAATCCCTCAATGGTCCAGTGAAATTTAGGAAAGTTATGACACATTTAAGACAACTTGATGCTAATATTATTTTTTGCAGGAGACCCATTTGTGTAAGGCAGACAGTGCAAATCTAAGCAGGCGYTGGTCTGGTCAGGTGTTTCAGTCTAACTTCCAATCTAAATCGAGAGGGGTGGCCATCTTAGTTGGTAAACAGGTGCAATTTACGGCATCCAGTGTTAAAACGGACGCTGCTGGACGTTAGGTTATTGTGGTGGGAAAACTATATGCACTTCCTGTCATTTTAGTCTCGGTACATGCTCCAAATTGGGATGATCAAACATTTTTTAATACG